CTTACAGCTCAATCACCCCCCACTTACGGGGGATGTAATAACAACATCACAAATTACATTAGCATAGATTTATACTTATTTTTATGCATTTGTCTTTTAAATCTTGTAGAAGATAAAAAAAATTGGATATATAAACCAAAATTACAAATTATTGGGTTTTTAAAAATGTTTACCAGAGATCTTTTTATCTTCACATGGCCAGGAGTTATTTTCTAGGAACCTTTGATTTCAATCCGAAGGACTGCTTTTACTATTTCTTATAGAGTAGGTCTAGTGGTAGTAAAATCTCTTAGCTTTTGATTATTTGGGAATATTTTCACTTCTCTTACACTTTCGAAGGACAATTTTACTAAATACAGTAGACAGATTATTTTTTCTTTCAGTACTTTGAATACATCATTTCACTGACTCTGGCCACCAAGTTTTATGCTGAAGATTACACTGACATTTTTATCAAAATACTGTGTACATGATGAATTGCTTATCTATAGCTGTTTATGGGAATCTCTTCCTTTGGCTTTCAACATTTTTATTATGATGTATCATAGGGCTTATCCTACTTGGATTACAATAGTCTTCTTATTATGTAGATTTCCACAAATTTGGGAATCTTTTAGCTACCACCCAGAGGGGAAGAGGAAACAGTAACTCTTGAGACAGAGGGAAATAACAGAGGGGTTTAAATATTTAGGTCATATAGCTCAGCAGCTAGAGTTGGAGTCTCTGGGTCAGAGAGCTCTGAAGGCAAGCACTGGTGTTTTATAGCCCCAGGATTTGTTTTAATTATGGATAGCATATGTTGGGTGTAGTTTTATGGGGTATGCAAAGCAGGAAAATTCTAAATGGCTAAAATATGTTTATTTGGGAAATATTTAAAGCAATTAAATGTGTAAAAAAATTGAGTTTGGTGTTGGTGGGCTTTGAGCTAATGGATGTAGCCTGCTGTGAAGAAGTAAGCAACAAAGAGCTCAATATACACAGGCAATCTTTAACTCACTTAAATAGCTATATGCCCCTTAGTTAGCCACTCTGATTAATCTGACAGGGTCTGGGATCAGATGTATAGAATTAGTAGTATTAACAGGACCTTAAGCAGCAAAGTGGAATCAATCTGCAGTGGGGACTTCAGGCATGCCCAACACTAAGGGGTTGTAGCTGAGCCAATCCCATCAGCTATCATGGTTTTCCTTAGTAAGACACAATAACTTAACTTTCTGTATTGACCTTTTTGCTTTGCCCAAGGCATTAATGCAGATATAACAGGATGTATTAGCAATTGCAAGGCTCCACCTTGCTCCACAAGCAGGAAGTCTATGACAATTCTATCATCCATAACAAGATTGACATGAATACCTTCTAAGGCCAAAGTGGAGTTTCCATAAATATTTGCAATCCTCTTATGAGCCCTTTTAGATGTAAATCGGAGTATTTTGAGGAGAGAGGAAAATTAATGCTTGGCTTCTACACAAACACAATAATGAGAGATATCCATCACCTTGGGATGGGGTAATTAATCCCTTGAATGAACTGGTGTTTTTGAGAGAAAGAGAAGTTATTTAAAGTCTGAGATTAGTGTAGAAGAGCAGAGGCCTGTCTGAAATAAAGTAGGAGCTGATGTGGACAAATTTACTGAGGGATCTCTGGAGCAGACATTTTCTAAAATCGGTAAAAAGGCTTATAATGTAGATGAAAAATAGAAAAAAAAAATCAGCTGTCAGAAGTGATCAACAAATCATTGCACATGAAAAATAGAAATTAATATTCTCTACGCTGCAATTACCCCTCCTATGAGACTTTAGATTTTTGTGTTATGTGGCTCTTGGTAGTGGGGACAGTTTGGTTTAAAGGACCGCAAATTTATAGGCCATATACTCTGCCTTTAATGAACAAGTCATCCTTCTTATGCCATTTCACTTAATATTATGGGTATTTAATCTAGAAAATTAAAATTTCATAAAACATGGCAGCCTAATTTTGGAGAATTGTTTTTTTAGTATAAATTGGTTTGTTTAAAGCAAACACTTATATATCTGGAATTTTCATTAACTTTTTAAATAAAATTTTTTCTAGATTCTCTGAAAACTCTACTTCATTGCAGGTATTTTAAATTTATTATCATTGTAAAGACGAGGTAAAATATTCAGGATCATGATTTGTCAAAAATCAAAAGATAAGTCCACCAGAATGTAAGAATTTTTTTGAAGCATTTATGAAATATAGAGATGATATCATGGAAGTGTTTATAGAAGTAATGGAAATGGTTTTAAATGAAGCAACTGGCTTATAAAAATTAGGGGAAGTACATGAGAAAAATAAAACAAGTTTATGTTTTTTGTGGATACTTATGTATTTGTTAGGACAACCTTGGTATTGTGGTTCATATTTGAATCTGGGTAATATAAGTATCATAAGCATATGAATAAATACCTGTATAACTACACATATTGAGAGCCTAAGATAGGGAATTATTAAATGATGGTAAAATAATTTTTATCCAGCAAATAATTTGTCTTTTGCCTTTAAAACTTGATTTCTAAGGACTGGTGGTCCAAAAAAGTGCAATAGATAGTTGTGTGACTGGTTACTTTTGTGTAAAAACAAAATAAAACAAAATAAGAAAAGGGCTCATTTGTGGGCTCTTGGGCCCCAAACAGCATATAAGCCAGTGAAGAGGAAATAATGTATGAGTGAGAAACAGTATATGTGTTCATTGAGAACATACAGGAGGCAAACATTCTAGCAAATATTAGTTTTCCTGATGAGTCAAAACATCATCAAGGTCATATAAGAGCAATATCCCCCAGAGTTGGCTGGTAACCATCTGAGAGTAGGACATCTAAACATGCACTGATTATGTTGTCTATCCACTACAGTCAGGATTTGGATATGTTGCTAGCATTTACTTTGGACAATATCCTTTTTGGCAACTGTGTGTCAAGAACTATGAAAGGTATAAGTTTTTACCCTATTTGTAAGCTAACAATTTGGTCTGACACAATTCCATAGATGCTGGAAGAAGATAAAAGCACCTGAGTCAGATATAAAAAGAACTATTTACAATTGCCAAATTATGGAAGCAGCCCAAGTGTCTTTCAAATGATAAATGGATAAATAAGATGTATATATGCACAGTGGAATATTATTCAGCCATAAAAAAGAAAACTTGTCATTTGAAACAACATGGAGCCAGAGAGTATAATGCTAAGTGAAACAAGTCAGACAAAGAGAAATATATGATTTCATTAATATGTGGAATTTAAGAAACAAAACAAAGGAGCAAAGGGGGAAAAACAGATTAAGAATATCAAGAAATAGACTTTTAATTGTAGGGGACAAAGTGATGGTTACCAGTGGGGAGGCAGTGGGGGGATGTTGGTTAAATAGGTGATGGGGATTAAGGAGTGCACTTGTCCTGATAAGCTGATGACCACTGGGTGATGTATGGAATTGTTGAACCACTATATACGATACCTGAAGCTATATAATATATAATATAACACTACATATTAAATAACTGAAATTAAAATAAAAACTTTTTAAAAAGTTTCAGATTTCACATTTATATCTCACCATTGCCAGAGTGATAGTTAAGAGAGCTGTACCAGGCAGCAGGTCCAACCAGCATTTACAAGACAAACTCCCTGTTCATACATAAGTCCTTGTGTATATGGTCTTAGAATGCCTGGGATAAGAAGCCAATCCAGTCATATGTGTGAAGAGAAAGCTGTGAGCTAATTTGTCTCATGTGGTTTCTGAGCCCACGAGTTGAATGTGCTTAAAACATTGGTAGTACTAGGAAGAGAATACAAAAGTACAAGGATGAGCAGCTTTTAAAATATTTTTCTCCTGATTTAGTGGTATCTTATTCTATGAAATACAGGCACACCAAAAGAAAAAAACATTTTAGTTAAAATGTCTCACCTCAGTATAAGTTACAAGTCAAAGTATTAACAGTTTTTGTTCCAAACTATTTTTCATTGCTATGTGTCTAACAAATGGCCTTGAAAGAAAGTAGAGATAGTATTTCCCTTTGCGACAGAGAGCATATTTGTGTGCTATTCAGGAAAACGAACTTTGAGAAAGTTTTCTAAAAGTCCCTTTAAAACAATGGAGTTTCCTATGCTATTATGCAGATCCATTGTCTGACTATCCTATACCTGCAATGTTTCTTATCACTAGCATGGGACTTGGGGACTGAGAGTAACCAGTGTAAAAAAGTTCATGCTGCCTGCTGCAGCATGAGTAAGAGCATCAACATTAATACAATCATTAGGCATCACAGGCCAAATATATTACAGTCAGACTGGACCACCACACTGAAATGTAAGCAGGCACAATAGGCCTATTGAATATGGTCCTGTGCATTATCTCAAGAGAGTCCATCACAGTGATTTAGGGTTTAACCTTATCATATTTAATGGCTACTCCTGTCCAGAGACCTCCATGTGCTGGAGAATCTAGATTAGCTAAGGAATGGTATAAAATATGCTGTGAGATTATACATGAAATTTAACATGGTGCAAAGGCAAAGAGTTAGTTTAGGTAGTACACTGTATAGGGAGAACCCAGGAGTGGGTTGGATTCAATATAAATTGTTTCATCTTCAGGCTTTGCACTTCTACACTGAGCAGTGGTAATCTGTTTTGGCCTCACTTCTTACTCATTCTAATCTTTGCATCAGCAGGCCAAAAAAATTAACTATGAGAAAAATTTTCCTGAGGAACTTGCTCAACACAGTTCTGGATATGGAACCTGTCCAGGAAAAAAAAAAAAAAAGACATCATTTTCAGTAGAATTTGCTAGAACTATGGTAATTTAATGCTGACACATAGAGCATTGTCGCAGGAATTTTCTGTCACTGGATTAAAAATTCCAGCCATCCAACCACCCAGTACACTAATTTTAACACATGAAAAGTACTTAGTACCATGCTTAGCACTGGGAGGGGCTGGGAGTGTTTATTTTGGTATATACAGTGATGTAAGAATTTAAGTTGCATTTAGTAGATAGATTCCTAGGTATTCCAGCACCATTTACCGAATGAACTATCATTTCCTCATTATCCGGCAAGACCCTGATTTCCTACAAATATTGAATGTAGAACTTATTTATGTACACCAGGCTCTGCCTCTGGACTTTCTGTTCTGTTCCAGAGACCCAGTACCAGAATATTTAAATCACTGTGTCGTTAAACACGTTTTAATATCTGATAGGGCCAGTTTCTGCGCACTGCACATTTTTTTTTTCCTTTCAGGAACATGTTCAGGCCCGCGGCAGGGGGCGGGGTCACGCCTCCTCCTCTGCTCTGGTTCCCGCGGAGCCTCCCGGACGCTGAGATGGAAAGCCCAAGGCTGCTCCCGGCTACCGGGACGCGACAGAGCGACGGTGCTGGCATCCCCGCGGGCGGCAGCCGGGTCCACGGAGGCCCTGACCCGCGGGCTGGCCAGGTCCCCGCGCGCCGACTCCTGCTGCTCCGGGGCCTCCAAGATGGCGGGCCCGGGAGGCGGCGCGAGGAGGCCCGCGCGGCCTCACGGGGCCCAGGCCCCAGCCCGTTGGCGACCAGGCCAGATTACGCTGGCGGCGGTGGCGACAGCGGCGACGGCGGTGGCAGCGACTTTTTCCTGGTGCTGCTGGACCCAGTGGGTGGTGATGTGGAGACCTCGGAAGCCCGCCAGGCCTCAGGGCCTGTAGGAAGGGAGGAGGCCCAGTCTGGCCCACAGCTCCACAAGGGTGAGAGTGGCGCGAATCCCGCGGGCTTCATGGCGCTGGGTCCCTGTAGTCTGTCCGCGGTTCCAACACCAGTCTCGGCCCCTGCCCCAGGCCCGGGACCCGCCGCCACCTTCGCGGGCACCGTCACTATCCACAACCAAAACCTGCTTTTGCGCTTAGAGAATGGTGTCCTCACCCTTGCCACGCCCCCGCCGCCAGCCTGGGAGCCTGGGGTAGCGCCTGCCCCTCAGCCCGGGGGTCTGATGGCTCACCAAGCAGGGATCCCACACGCAGCGCAGCCCAGCGACTGCCCCGAGCTGCCGCCCGACCTCCTGCTGGCCGAACCGGCTGAACCGGCGCCTGCCCCGGCGCCTGAGGAGGAGGCAGAGAGCCAGCTCGCAGCCGAGAGCCCCCGCAGGCCGCTGGGCCCGGGCCCGGGGGTGGTGCTGTACCTGTGTCCCGAGGCCCAGTGCGGACAAACCTTTGCCAAGAAGCACCAGCTGAAGGTGCACCTGCTGACTCACAGCAGCAGCCAGGGCCAGCGGCCCTTCAAGTGCCCCCTGGGCGGCTGCGGCTGGACTTTCACCACCTCCTACAAGCTCAAGAGGCACCTGCAGTCTCACGACAAACTTCGGCCCTTTGGCTGCCCTGCGGAGGGCTGTGGCAAGAGCTTCACCACAGTGTATAACCTTAAGGCACACATGAAGGGCCATGAGCAGGAGAACTCATTCAAGTGCGAGGTGTGCGAGGAGAGCTTCCCTACACAGGCCAAACTCAGCGCCCACCAACGCAGCCATTTCGAGCCCGAGAGGCCCTATCAGTGCGCGTTTTCCGGCTGCAAGAAGACGTTTATCACAGTGAGTGCCCTGTTTTCCCACAACCGTGCCCACTTCAGGGAACAGGAACTCTTCTCCTGCTCTTTTCCTGGATGCAGCAAACAGTACGACAAGGCTTGTCGCCTGAAAATTCACCTGCGGAGCCACACAGGTGAGAGACCTTTCCTTTGTGACTTTGACGGCTGTGGCTGGAACTTCACCAGCATGTCCAAACTCTTAAGGCACAAAAGGAAGCACGATGATGACCGGAGGTTCATGTGTCCTGTGGAAGGCTGTGGGAAATCTTTCACGAGGGCCGAGCACCTGAAAGGCCACAGCATAACCCACCTGGGCACAAAGCCTTTTGTGTGCCCTGTGGAAGGCTGCTGTGCCAGGTTCTCTGCTCGCAGTAGTCTCTACATTCACTCCAAGAAACACTTGCAGGATGTGGACACTTGGAAAAGCCGTTGCCCAGTCTCTACTTGTAATAAACTTTTCACATCCAAGCACAGCATGAAGACCCACATGGCCAAAAGGCACAACCTCAGCCAGGATCTCTTAGCTCAGCTGGAAGCTGCAAATTCTCTTACACCCAGCAGTGAACTTACCAGCCAGGGACAGAGTGATCTCAATGATGCAGAGCTAGTGTCTCTCTTCTCTGATGTGCCTGGCAGTAGTTCTGCTGCAGTGTTGGACACAGCACTGGTGAACTCTGGAATCTTGACTATTGATGTGGCTTCTGTGAGTTCAACTCTGGCAGGGAACCTCCCTGCTAATAATAATAATTCCTTAGGGCAGGCTGTGGACCCTCGGACCTTGATGGCCACCAGTGACCTTCCCCAAAGTCTGGATACCTCTCTCTTTTTTGGAACAACAGCCTCTGGTTTTCAGCAGGGTCCCTTAGATACGGATGATGCCTCAAGTCTAAGTGTGGGGCCATTGGCATCTCTGGGCCCTTTGGCTATGAAAAACTCGAGTCAAGAACCCCAAGCTTTGACGCCCAGCAGCAAGCTAACAGTGGACACAGATGCTCTGACTCCTTCCAGCACCCTTTGTGAAAACAGTGTCTCAGAACTACTGACGCCAACCAAAGCAGAATGGAATGTACATCCTGACTCTGACTTCTTTGGACAGGAGGAAGAAACCCAGTTTGGATTTTCCAATCCAGCAGGAAACCATGGTTCTCAGAAAGAAACAGATCTTATCACAGTGACTGGCAGCTCATTTTTGGTATGAACTATTAATTCCTTGCCACATGGCTTACTTTTGTTAATTACACTCAATTTTAAGGATATTCTGGACTAAATGTTTAAATGCAGTCATTTCCCATAGGTTTGAAAAAGAACAAAGTCCTGGGCTACGAGTCTGAAGATTTAAATTATGATCTTGACTCATGTCAAGTTGTGTGACCCTGAGCAAGTCACGTAACCAATCTGAGCCTTAATTTGCTTATTTATAAAATGAGGTGGTTTAAATAGATTGTTTCTAAGGTATTTTTAACTCTGTGATTCCTTGATAATAAGCTATTTCCTTGGAAAAAAATTAGGACATTTTTTAGTGATGGTGTTGCATGTGCTTTTTTTTTCCAAACGTACATAATGGTACACGAAGCAGCCATATGTTTTGCACCCAAAATCAGCTATTATTTATTCACAGTTTTGTTTATCTAATTTTCACTCTAACCCTTTTCAAGAAATATTTTGTAATAAATACCAGATATTACATCATTTCAATCATAATTATTCTATATATAGTTCTATAAAGGATGGGCTCTTTTGGAAAAAATTACAATTCCATTATCATACTTAAAGTTAACAATAACTCCTTAATACCAATAAATATCTAGTCAGATTCCAATTTGCAGTTGTCCCATAAATATTTATTTTAATATTTTTAATATAGGATTCCAGTAAATCTCTTCTGTGTCTTTTTAATTTGTGTTTCCCCTTTGTCTCTTAACTTGCATAGATTGTTTTGCATGTAGCATTTGCCACAATCTTAAATTTTTGTGATTACATCCTGGTGTTAAGTTCCTCTATCCTCTGTTTCCTGAATTTGGTCGTTGGATCTAGAGACTTGATCAGATTGGAAATGTGATTTTCGGGGCAGGAATATTTCCTAGGTTGTGTTGTGTTCTTTTTTCAGGTAGTACATAATGTGTGGTTCTCTCTTTGTGATATCTGCAGTTGCTGCTGATGAATGAATTTATTCATGATTACCTGTGTTTCTGATATCATGGATTGTTTTTTGTAGAATTACTAGTAGTGGAGGAGGAAATGCTGTTTAAGGCATTTATAAAAGTTTAATAGAAATATTTAATTCCAGAATATTTTCTTAAACAGTGATATAATTAACAAGAAAAAGGCTAATAAAAAAAATGTTGGCTGTTCTCCCCATTTATATAACTTCCTGACCTTTTTAAATGAGGGCAGGATTTGTTTTTGTTGAAATTGCCAGCCTGAATTTTGACATGAAACAAACCCAGGGTCAAATTTCTGTGGGATAAGTGGCCTTGATAACTAAGCCTCAGTTTCATAGCCATCAAATGATCATAGTAATGCATACACATAACTAACATACTTTAGAATATCCTTCTTTTCAATTTTTTAATATGTAAGGAAAAGTATTATGTGCTTTGGCATATTTTGAGGAATTTATATAATTTTTTTTACCCTGTCAGGCCTCCCTACTCTAAGGGAGAAATTGAGATAATTTAATCCTATTCATGTTAGGCAATAAATTTTCTGAGGTTTAGCGTGAGGCAGGATAGGGAATGTCTTTATTTTCTCCCCTGAATAATTACCCCCTACTCGCAGGAATTTCTGTGGGGAAATTGCAGGAGAGGAGACATTGCTCACAGGTATATCTGCATCCCTTTCCATTAGACGAGTTTGTCACCATCTTTGTGCTGCTTCCAAAGTCAGACTTCACTGTGATTATGGAGCCTGCTATTGTATGAAGCTCTGATAATGGAATAGAGAAGGTTTCTTTCCCTCTGTGGTCTGGAGAGCTCATTGTTTGCATTTTCTCAGATTTGGAAAGATAGAATGAATCTGAATATTGTGTAAACTGTCTTATATGAGTGCAGCTTTTGAATTTTGTGGAACAAAATTCAGAACAACCCTGTAGTTTTGGCAAAGTCTGTGCTGTGTCTCATGACAATTTAGCCAGCTTACATTCCAAATGGGCTTTGGCTAGTGACTGACAGTTGTATACATAGCTTAAAACAAAGAGAAATTATTTTCACCTCTCCTTTTCCATTCATCCAACTTCCATGATTCATTCCATTTGATTTCTGTTACTTTCTGCTTAACTTTATCCACACTCCATTCCCATGCATGTGCATTCCAGTCCTTGCTATGCCTTTCTTTTTTAATTTTTTAATGGATATATCTTTTCCTACCACTGTTTTCTCATTTTAGAAAATACTGTGTGTGTATGTATGTATATATGACTCAGATGATAAATGAGATTATATATTGTTCAGATGGATGTAGATTTCTGTTTAATTGTTTTCCTTTTTAAAAAGTTTTTGCCACAGAGTTCTCCTAATATTCTCTTATTTGCTCTAGTGTACCAGTCCAGTAGTGTTGGCACATGAATGTCTGTGGATGACAGTTATTGTAGCACTTTGGCAGTGCACTAAAAACTTGCCACTTTGAAATGTTTCTGTACTGTGTGTGGGTATATACACATACACATGCACACACACATATATTTTTTAAGTGGTTATATTCATTTACTGAAAAAAAGTAGGCATACTTTTGTAAATTAGAAATGCTCAAAATTGTCTACTCATTCAACAATTTTCTCCCTTCACTTTGAAATATTTGTATTTATAAAGTGCATTTGAAAAATATTGTCATTTATTAAGGTTTCTTAAATAGGCCACTATTTTTCATGTATGGAAGATAAGTGTGTCAAGGATTGAAATGAATGCACACATAGCAAATATCAAATAAATTATTTAAACACCAAGAGAATTTAATACTGTGACTTTATTTTTTTAATTCCTCAAACCAACTTCCTCCTACTAAAAAGTCATAAAATATATTTTTTCTTAACCCATTGCTGGAATTTTCAAAGGACAAATGTTACTTTTCTCAAAAATAAAAGCTTTTATTTGTCCATGGGCTCAAAGAGTTTCATTAAACAATTTGTTCAAATGATTTCCCTTTCAACACCATTTTCTAGAAAAGTGGTGAACTTCTATTCATTCAAAGTAAGAAATCTAATGTTTGTTGAGTGATATAAAGTTGCTATTACTCCTTATTAAATAATGGTACGTACATGTTTTCATTTAATCCTGGTTCCTTTCTTCTTCTCTTCCTTCAATCACTAGTTTATTACAAAAATCTTACCAAAAAAATTAAAATCTTGTCAATTGAAAGCAAAGTAACATGATAGTTTAAAAAGAAGACTGCTTTTAGGAGACTCTGTTGATCATGTTGATTGTAAATTAAAGTGTATATTGTTATTAGCATTATTACAAATTAGTATAATTAATATAACACAGTGCTTGAAAACAGGAGTGAAACATGGGTAGATTTTGAAGTTTGTGTCTGTGACCTAAACTTTTCATGTTCTTACCCAGAAAATATATAAGAAGGAAATTTTTCAGCTGGGGATTCCATTATATTTATTTCATATTAGCAAATATTTATTAAGCACCATTGTGCAAATGCAACATAACATATTGAGGGTTCTATGATACGAGCAATATGCAACTCATACCTTTAAGATCACAGTAGATAGGAGGAGAGAGAAAAAAAAACATTTATTAGAGAATTGGAGAACAGAAATGGGAAAAGTTTAATTTGGTAACAAAATGAGAAGTAAACACATACACACCACAAACCCACAGCCCACTTCACCCCTTCCCCCCCCCCCCCCCCAGGAAGAACAATGAGGAGTTTATTCTGGGCACAGATGAAAGTTTGTGAACATGTTTTAATAGAGGAGTTAGATCATGAAAATTATGTCTTAGGTTAATGTAATGGAAGTGTACAGTATGAATTAGGTGGGAGAGACTGGAATAGAATCAGTGAGAAAGCTTTTGTAGCAATTCAGCAAGTGTGGTATGATTAAGCATAAAGCCTGGACTAGAGTGGTGTCAGTGGAAAATGAGAGGTGGGAACCAATATTGAAGATGTTTTCAAGTTGAGGAAGGAATAATACTTAGCACATCATGAGGGAGATAGATTATGATGATAGATGATAGATGATGATAGATGATAGATAACATCTGAGAGACAGAGAGAAATCAGAAATGATAACTCGGGTATCCTTGGGGAATGTAATAATGACATTTTAAAATAATTTTTTTTGATGTTTATTTATTTTTGAGAGAGACAGAACATGAATGGGGGAGGAGCAGAGAGAGAGGGAGACACAGAATCCAAAGCAGGCTCCAGGCTCTGAGCTGTTAGAGCCCGACACTGGGCTCGAACTCATGAGCTGTGAGATCATGACCTGAGCTGAAGTCGGACGCCCAACCGGCTGAGCCACCCAGGCGCCCCTGTAATAATGACATTTTTACGGGGCGCCTGGGTGGCGCAGTCGGTTAAGCGTCCGACTTC